GGCCTCCAACCCAGTAGCGATGGCCTCCAGCCTAATAGCGATGGCCTCGAACCTAATAGCAATGGCCTCCAACCTGGTAGCGATTGTCCCCCTGGTAGCGATGGCCTCCAGCCTAATAGCGATGCCTCCAACCTAATAGGGATGGCCTCTAACCTAGGACCTAGAAGTTCTATTATTTGTTTATCACACTTTCAGCTCAGCCAGGCTGGGCCACGATTAGGGCCACGCAGGCCAATGAAGAACAAGGACATGGCGAAGGAGCGTTAATGTTTGTGGTGCTGGTAGGCACAGTAAGCAAGAAGCGGCGGTTGACTTGGGCAAACTTCAAAGCCAAGCTGTCCAGGAGGCTCCAAAGGCCAAAGCAAAGCCGAAGACACCACCACCGTTGGAGTCCTGGACATGTCGATATAGACACGTCTCAGATCATTTCCTTCACCCCAGCACGCATGTTTGGGCGGGCTTCACATACATGCGTACATAGGTTTTGGGGAGGCCCTGCACATAGGCCTTGGTGGGGGCATTTCAAGTGCGCATGTCCCAGGGTCTTGAGATTCAAGCCCTTCGGGCTCCTGATAGGCTCCAAAAAAGGTTCCAAGCACTGAATGAGATGGACATAGGTTCTGGAAGCTTGGGAGACGTTCCCGGTATTCAGTCGGTGGGTTGCCCGGAAAAGTGTGAGTTTTTTTTATAATGCTTATTTCTGTTCACCAACAGAACAGCGTATTGTTGAAAGAAGCCCTTGACAACGGCGATCTCCAACTGAAAGGGATGGCCGATGGTGTGAAGCCATTGGGTGAGATGGGCGGGCGTGTGCCGCACTGCATATTCCCAAGAAGTAGTTAAAGTAAAAACCTTGATTGCAACCTGCTGCGCGCTGAGCTGGGCAGATTAGCTCGGGAGAACGGGAGCATGCAGTACGTAGTGCCAATGAAGGTCCAAGATTGAAACAGGAAGATGCGCAAAGCCTTAAGAACCAAACTCTTGATCAGCTTCGCCATCCAACTTTTCTGAGGCCTCCAACTTGCGGGAAGCCACCCAAGAAGCCACGTTTCCGTGCGCACAAAGACATGCCCTTTTTGCAGCTTCGAAACTAGGATGAGAGTGAATCAATCGCTTTGATCCCATCGGACATGATCATTTATCAAGCCATTTGTTGAACTCAAGTGATGACCATTAGCCGCAAGCATGGGACGTGTTCACCAGATTTGCCTCATTGGTATGTCGTGGTGTTTCAGTTTCTTGGCTGATTACTTGTGGGTTCCATCAGTGGCGTACGTGAAGGACAGAGACCTTGGGGTGAAGTTCTTGGGAGCCGTCTATGCTTTGAATCTCGGAGCACGATTTCTTCCCAATCTCTTGGTCACCAGATGGGGCGTACAGATTGAATTCTTCATGATGGCCAGCGTGACGTCGGGTTATATCACCTCGCTTGCCTATCCGACCAAAGTCTGGGCATTCTGCGTCATGGCCCTCTGTTCAGGCATGGGATTTGTCCGAGCCTGCTTGACTGCATGTGCAAACAGCCTTCCAGGATGATCCTGAAATGTTGGCCACCACTTCAAAACAGTGTGGCGCTGCAAGAAACTGTGGCAGCATTGCTGCAATGATCGTACCGGCCCTTCTCTACCAGCGCTTTGGCTGGCCGGCCGTTTGCTGCGGTGCTTGCAGTGCAGCGCTATTGTATATACTACTGTCTAGTCTAGTCGGGCGCCAACAACCAGAATCCAGGAGAGACAAGCACGAGGAGGGACATCTGGACATATCATGGATTGATTGGATAGTGGGATCGGCCTTCATTTTCACAGAGTTGCAGTACAACATTGGCAACGCTGCGATCCCACAAACACTGACAACCACCTTCAATATGTCAGTTGGGGAAGTGGGCCCTACTTTGGGAAGCTTCAATGCAATCTCCATGCTCTTTTTGGCGGTGTTGCCCAGCGTGCCTTGCGCATTCTTGCACAGGAGTCCTTTGAACATCGTGATGTGTTTTCTCTTTGTCCTTGTGTCTTGGATATGTGCAGCCTTCTCTGCCATGCACGCTGCCGATGGATATTCGGTCTTTGTGATGAGTATCCTCTCCTTCACACTGTCCATCAACATGGCACAAGTCCTCATGCTGGAGTATCTGTCAGGTGTCTTGGACACTAAAGGCGCTGAGAGGCTCATGGGCGTTTCAGAAACCTTGGGCTGCGGATTTGCTATGCTGGGGGGATACCTGGGAGATGAGCTTGAGGTGTACGGTTCGGCAGCTCCATTTGTCATGCAGGGCATAGTTGCATTCCTTACTGTCACTACGCTGGGAGCATCACTGGCACACCGCCACGTGACCAGAGACAACCCGAGTCACGTGTCGCCCTTGAGCTTCCGGAACCAACTTGCAGAAGGAGTCAAGCGAATTGCGGTGTCTCAGTCAACAGACAGTCCCGCAAGCATGGAACGCAAATATCGGCAGCACCTTGCTCAGGGTAACCGCACTGTAGTCAAACCTTTGCTTGGGGATGCTGATGTCATCACAATTGCTTAATTATTGCCGTCACCTATGTCACCGACTGGTTCAGGCCAATTCATTTCGGCGAGGAACAAAGTCCTTTGCCCGAATTCATTTCGGCCGAGGGTGTAGCTGATAGGCGAGCAGCCGCAGGCCAACTGGCTTTCGCAGGGGCTCGGTCGTGCTATCCCTGAAGACCGAATCGTTTGGAATTCATCGAGACTCCAATTCCATCGGAGACCATCGGCACCACGTCGAGGGAACACTGCAGAACTCGATCAAGTAAACAGTTGGGAAGTAGATGAGTCAGAGATTTTCACCACTTGGAATCCAAGTCATGGAAGAGCATGTGCATGCTGTGCTGCTCCTAACGTGTGCACAGAGTGACGAGGTATGCATTTAGTGCACAGCCTCTCCGGTGCCAAGCACGGCATGTGGGGTCCGGGTCTCAGAAAGAAAGGAGAAGGGTCGGAAGGATTCTGAAGGTCACTAGGTTCAGGTTTTTCAACTGGCACATGTGAAGCTTTAAGATGTGAAGCTTTCATGTCCTGGAACATGAAGAAAAACCAGGAAACCCACCCCCTTCAATCCCAGGCCCAGATAAATGGGAGCAGGTAGAGTCTATCTAGATACAGCCAGTGTCCATTAATATAGATGTTGGATCACACACACAAGCAAAAGGAATGTTCCCACCAGCACAAACATCCATGATTCAAGGGAGAGTTGAAATGGTGAGTTTCACTAAGATATTTGTATCCCACAATGTACATGGAGCTTGCACCACTGCCATGCGCTGAGGC